TTGAATTATATTGATTAAGCCATTCTTAAAGTCTTAGGACAAATCCAGTTTGGTCACGACATCATCCTATGTGAACGGAGCTAAATTCAAGTTTGTTGAAATTTTGCATGGGGCTTTGCGTCCCCTGTGGGCAAGACTGGCCCCAAGTATCCTTTCTGTTACTGTTTTTTTTTTTTTTTAATGCTTTTGAATAGTTTTTGTTAGTTCTGGACAGGGCCTTGGCCAGCATGGATGAGTCTGTGACTGCGCCTGGACACAGCCTGTGTTGGTTTTGGACAAAGTTCTTGCTCATTTGGGGCAAACTTCTCACTGGCTTGGGATATGGTTCCTATCAAGCTTCAGCCAGCAACACTTTGGGGGAGTGATCCTCCTGGTACAGCTCTCTGCACAAGTTTGTGTAGGATTAATTTAAAATTCTCAGCAGTGGAACCAATGAACTGTATTTCTCTGTTACGAATTTAAATTTGTTCATAGTAATGAAACTTCAGATGTTCTTCACGTTAGTTTTGGTAAATCGTATAGTTGTAGACTGTTACACATGCCATGTTATTTTAAAATATATTGGTACAATTAAACATTTGGCAGTAACCTCAAATTCTGTTTCCATCATCCACGAGATTGATCATGTTGGTGCTTTCTCTTCCTGGAATGGATTATTTGTACTTTCGATCCTTTTTCTTACTTAGCCTGATCAGCTTAGTAGTCCAGAAAATGAACTTTTGTCATTGATTATGTGACTTCTCAGTTTCCTGGATGCTCATTTCCACTTATTTTCCCCCAATTTTATTCAGGCTTCATTTCCAGCTCTTTTCATGTAATTTTGAGATGAAGGCTTAGACCTCTGCCTTCCCCCTTCTTTATCATACGTTAGTTCAAGGAAAATTATTTCCACCTGGGCATGGCTGTAGCTACACCCTGCAAGTTCTGTTATTCTGTTCAAAATATTTTTTTCCATGTGATTTCTACCCAAGGGTTAATAGAAGTGTTTATTTAACTTCTGAGTCTACAGATACCATCCAACTATCTTTTTTTGTTACTGATTCTTAGCTTAATTACTCTGAGGTAAGAAAACAAACGATGTTTTGATCTTAAATCTGTGAGGCACGTTGAGACTTGCTTGGTTGATATTTGAAAATGGTACTTAATTTGGCAGTGGTTGGCTTCTGTGTTTCATATATGCCTCTGTGAGGTCAGACAAACTGCAGTGTGGTTCTCACCTTTTATTTCTTGCTGATATTCTGTATGCTTGTTCTTTTACTTGCTGACAGATGCCAGTTAAAATTCAGCATTGATTATAGACTTGTTTGTTGCTTACATTATTTCTCCTTTCACTTCTATCAACTTCGATGTGAATAATTTGAAGTCACATATGTGCACACAAATTTGGCATTCTTCAGGGTGGGTTGGCTACTTTTGCGTTATGAAATGTCCCTCTTCACACCACTGCTTTTTTTGGGCCTATTTATCTGGTCAACAGAGCCACCAACAGCTTTCTTCTGATTGCATTTTGCATGGTATTTTTTCCCTGTGATTTTACTTCTCCCTTTTTTCTATTCTTACATTTTTTTAGGTATAACAGTAAACTGAATATAGTTGGACTTTTAAATTTAATCTGTGATGTTTTTTCTTAGTTACGTGTCATTATTTTTCTTTTTTATAATTACTGATATATTTGCAAATCTGCCACCCTACTCAAAGAGTTCGTTTATTGTTTTCCTTTATCTTTTCTTGCTTTGTTTGGATTTTTATTACTCTATTGTTCCATTTATTACTTTAGAACTCATACAATCCTATGAGTCGTCTAGTAACTTTTCAAAGGCCTTACAACGAATATCTTTGTCTTTCCAATGTTTTTTTATCCAAAGATCTAAAATCCAAGACTCTGAATATCACCATGGTGCCACAGGCAGAAAGCACCATGCCCGACCTCAGCGAAGGGTCATGCTAAAAAACACTGCACAATCCTACCTTCCAGCAACGTGGGTAAGGGAGACACAAGGCATAAATGAATTCTGTGCCTGGATTTGTTGGTCCCATTCCCAAGATCTCTCATTGTATATATATGCAAAAGAAAAATCTGAAAACTGAGCAGGGAGCGCGGCTGGTCCAAGCGTTCGGAGTAGGGATTCTCCGCCAGTCCCTGCAGCGTCCATCATCTCCCAAACTGCACACCTCAGACCCCGCTCGCCAGAGTTCACGCAGCTCTTGCCATGCACTTGAATCTCCAGCTCACACCCCAGGAAGGCACCATGCTGCCGGGATTCCTTCATACTTTCCTGTCTTCCTAGCCTTTCATTTCTTCCTCTGTTTCTATTTTGCCTCAACTTGTCTTTTTTTTGTTGTTTTTTTTTTGAGACAGGGTCTCACTACGTAGTTGAGACTGACCTGGGACTCACTGTGTAGCCCAGGCTGGTCTCGAACTCACAGCGCTCCTCCTGCCCGGGATTTTCTCTTTGATTTCTGATTGCAGGTCTCTTACTACTGTAAAGTGCTGGAATGAGTCTTTCTTTATATGTATCCAGTTCTAGGGCTTCTCGAATCTGGGAGATTTTCACGCATCACTGCTGCTGCATTTCAGCCCCCGTGCTGCGAACACGGACGTTAGCCCCCGTTGTGCCTCTCTAGCGGCTCTTGCCCGCTCTCCTGCCTTTCCCTCTGCCCAGCTCCGTCTGTCCTTTCCCTCCCATAATTCCTTCTTCAGCGCTCCTCTCATCTGCAGACACACTCACCCCCTGAGCGCTACCTTTGTTTGTCATGTTTTAGGTCCCTTCACCGTTGTACACATTACGTCAGCGTCTTACAAGTAAGTTGCTTAAACAGAGGAAGCACAGGGACTGCAACATCCGTGGCTGATGGCTCCATTATGTGCAGCACCCAGAGAGGAGGGTTTTTTTTTTTTTTTTTTTTTTTTTTTTTTTTTTTCTTTTTTTTCTTTTTTTTTTTTTTTTTTTTTTTTTTTAAATCATCTGCTGTTTCTCCTGCTTTTCTCTTATGGTGTCCTCTTCCACCTCCTGTGTCCAGGAGTTTTCGGTTGTATGCTAGACATTATTTATAAAGGAAGACAGAAACCTGGCAAGGTGGCACACACTTATAATCCTAGCACTCCGGTAGGCAGAGGCAGGAGGATCGAAAGTTCAAGCACTGCCTGGCCAACGTAGTGACTTAGAGAGACCCTGTCTCAAAATAAGAAATAAGAAGGGGCTGGGATACAGCTATGTGAAGGCCTTTGGTTCAATCCCCAGTACAGAAAGGAAGAAGGAAAAAAGTCGGGGCGGTGGGGGGACATCAACAAGTGAGATGTGAATTTGGGAAGGAGGCCTAAGCCCGTGGGCCGGCGCACTGCCAAGCGCTGGTCATATCTCGTGCAGCCGGGTGCTCTGAGCCCGGGATGTGAGTGCCGTTTCCTGCCCCACCGCTGGGTGCATCCCAGGCCCAATGTGAGCTTTCGGGGTACTCGACCTGGAACGGCGTCTCCACCTCCTAGGAGGACTGGATTAGTTGCGTTAGAAATTGCTTCATTAACATGCCAAACAAAAGGTGTCATTATATTTTCAATTAGTGCCTTTTTTCTGAGGCCTGTGGATCGGAAGGAGCTCTGCCCTCTGCTCACAAGGCTCCAGGTTTCTGCATCACAATCGGGGACCGGGGCAGCTTAGCTGGGAGGTGAGCAGGGAGCAGGGAGGTGAGCGGTGCCCTTCAGCACCTGCACCCACATGGGGGGCCTCACGGCGGGAGCCTCTGCTGCTGGAGACACGTGGTGTCCCGCTTCACACACCCAGAGGACACGCAGGCCACCTTTCCCGCGGGGTCCGCTTGTCCCTGGCGGTGAGGAGTGTCCGCCTGGTCCTGGCTTTTTCTTCTCTCACTGAGACCACGTCTAGTTCGACTCAATAAATAAGATGGTACAAGTCCCTGCTTTCCCGGAGTGAGTTCCACGGCACACTCGTCTTCCACACTGGCCCCTGAAGAAGGGTTCCCTGGTCAGATGGGTTTGGGAGGCTCACAAGGTGGGTTCCAGGCAGCTGCCCGAGGGGTCTGTCAGCTTTAACCCTCTTCTTCCACGGGCCATCTCTGGGAGCGTCCGGGCCCGCTGCGCGATGCTGCCCGGCACGGTGCCCATGATCTTAACCACCCCACACCTGCTTCAGAAGGGCCCGGGGCGCCCAGGCCCAGCACGCCTCTCCTCCCTGCGGCCCGAAGCCCCCACGCCTCAGGTGACACAGCTGCTGAAGCCTGAGCTCCACGGAGGTAGACAGGACAGGACCGGCTCACTGTCTACGACACACAGGATGGAGCAGTGGGGGTCTGGGGATGAACGGAGGCGCTGGTCCTGGGGGCAGGGATGTGCTGCTGCATGGACGCTCTCACGACCTGCAGGCAGAGTCACCAGGGTCGCTCCTGTCCAGTCTACCTGCCCAGGCCATGCGATGGCTGGAGGGAAGTGACACGGGGCGAGAATGTGTGCGCGTGTGCGCCTACCTGCCCAGGCCATGCGATGGCTGGAGGGAAGTGACACGGGGCGAGAATGTGTGCGCGTGCGCGTGCGTGTCAGCGCACCCGTGAGGCTTGGTGGCCCAAGAGCCATGCGCGTGAAGCCCTCCCTTCTCTGCACCCCCTCTGCTTCTCTCTCACCTTGTGTCTCTCCTCGCCTTGCCCCTCTCTCCGTGGCTCTGTCTCTCCCTTCCTACACTGCTCTGTGTTAGTCCCACCCAGCTCCTTCAGTGACTGCCGCCCTACGGTTTCCGGCTGGCCCGATATTCCTCAGGACGCAGAGTGTGGCTCTCAGGCTGCATGGTCTGTGGAGTCCGCCTCGCAGAGGAGATGGGGCGGCTTTGTTTGAAAGCTGCACAGAGCCCTGTGGGCCATCCCGGTGGCCTGCCCGTGATGCTGCCCAGCACAGAGCAGGGCAGAGACCTTGGTCCTGACCCTCATCCTCAGGGAGCCTGGCGGCATGGGGCATCTTGGCTGCAGCAGACTTCCCCCTGCACGGTCACCCTTACCTTGTGTCCTGAGTGCGAGGTCCAGGTCTGGGCCACCAGCAGCCGCACCATGGCGTCCCACTGCTTGGCCGTCTGGTGGTCCCTCGCTGTCACTGTGAAGGCCACTTGCTCAGAGGGGATCTGCAGCTCCCGAGTGGCAAAGACGGTTCCATCCGCCCTGACTTTGAAGTCCAAGCTGTTGGTCTCATACTGCGTCCCCTTGGTCCCCAAGCAGCTGCTGAACTTAACTGTAAGAAGAGAGGAGGACACCGTCAGGAGGGCAGGAAGGGAACGGGCTCTGGGCCTCCCTGGAGTATGGGGCCAGTAATGGTCTCACGGAGCTCTCCGCCTTCTGAGGAAGTACTGGGAATTAGCTAGACGCTGTGAAAAGTAGAGGGGAAAACAGTAAAGAAGCCTCGGTTTGTGTCCATTCTCTAAGTGCAATTGCTCTCTCTCTGTCTCTCCCTCCTGCTGCCGTCTCTGCATTCAGCTGCATATTCTCTGCCCTCCCTCCTGCTGCCACCCATGCAAAACCCTGCCCGCCTGTGAATCCCTAATGGGTAGGTTTTCCGCCCAAGAAGACTAAGTGCAGCAATGGAATCAAAAGAAGTTGGTATTTAAAGAGTGTTCCCCAGTGGAAGGTAATTCTGGGAGCAGGACTCAGATCATCAGTTTCTAGTCTTTTCTTTTCAGTACTGGGAGGGATCAAATCTGAGGTATCTGTACTATGTTATATCCTCGGTTCTCCTTTGTATTCTTTGAGGCAGGGTCTTGTTAAGGTGCCCAGGCCAAGCTTGAACTTGCGATCCTCCTGCCTCAGCCTCCTAGAGTGTGGGGATGACAGGCCTGTCCCACCTTGCCCAGCAGGTTCTTGTTACTTGGCAAGGACCTGGCACCTGGCCCGGCCCCGGGCTTTCTTGGTGAGTAGCAAACAGAGATGAGGCAGACAGTGTGTTGACACTACTGGGGGCTGCACACTGCTTTGCTTCCAAAACATTAATTAGGCAGCCAAACCGCCACCTTCTTCCCCATGGCCTCGGTGCCACGGCCGCTCCTGACTCCTCCGCAGAAAAAGCCATCTGTGGAGCGGCGTGTTTACTGGGTGCACATCAGTGTGCTTTCATACATGTGCTGCTGCAACTGTCACCTAATGAGCTGGTAAATTATGAAGCACCCACAGCCAGTGTCACACTCTGCTGATAAAAGCGATGGATAAAGCTACCCAGCATTTATAAAAATGCGGGTATCTCAGCAATTATGGTGGGAGGGTTGGTTTTTTTACAGCAATTCCACTGTCACCGCTTACGTGATTTAATTACTGTTTATTCTAAAAAACTAAAATAAGCTACTCATATTATGCTTGATAAAGCGCTTTTCCCTCGTGTTCACCTTTTATTGTTGCCTGCCTTGAAATAATAAATACCATGCGTGCTTCCTCATCTCGAATACTTGGCTTTTGATGTTTCCCCAGTTACCAGCACCTCCCTCTCGTGGGCTGAGTATGAAAATGTCTGAAATGTGACAATCCAGGCTTAGCCACGAGGGAGGTGGCCCGGGCCCTGGAGCTGCCTGGACAGAGGCTCCTCTGATGGACAAGGTCAACCCTGGAGGGTGGCCTGCAGCTCCTGAGGGAAAAAGACTTTGTTTTCAAGTGAAAGGAAAATTCCAGACTGCTTTTGCAGCACTGTTTGCCCCAATGGTAAACAAATTAAAATCGGCAACAAGCTGAGGATCGATCACTTCTGACACCCAACTGTCACTGACAAAGATAAAAATGACAGCCCCGTGATCATGAGAGATTAGCACAAAGTACATAAATAAGCCTCTTTGTTCTCTAATAGCAAATTTCTAATAAAACTAACAGAACTGACAGCAGCGGGAGGGTCTGTAATCGCTTTGTGTTTTGTACAGAACGGGAACAGGGCTCTGGCAATGTCTTCACAAGCTCTAGGTCTGCCCCGAGAAGAATTCAGCGTCTGAGATGCCCAGAGAGGAACAGGGAATCCCTGGCCACTGGGGCCCGGACCTGGCAGGGGACAAAGATTCTCCACGGGAGGGACCTTGCAGAAATTCGAGAGAAGCCGCTCTGCCGTGCAGCTGCACCAGGTGGCGCCGTGGTGAGAGGAGGGCTTTTCCAAACTTCCGTGGTGGTTTGGAAGTTCACATCTGCCAGTCTGAGTCGGACTTGGGCTGTCCAGGCACGAGAATGTCCGGCTTTGGGACGAGATGCCTCCCAACCCCTGGCTTCCAGAGACCCAGTGCAGGGGACCCCAGGGGGCCAGTACTCCCAGGTTCCAGAAGCTCCGCACGGGGACAGGTCCACCAGTGCGCTCGAGTCTGCGTCCTCATCATCAGACGGCGGTGAGAAACGGAGCTGTGGGTGCCTCGAGGGAGTGCACAGCCAGGGGCCCTGCATGCCAGAGGGAAGAGCCGGACACGGGGCCATCTGGGGCCACAGCGTCAGGGCCAGCTCTGGGAGGAAGGAGGGGTGTGAGGGCCGTCCTCGTTCCCGAGCCCCCTTCCCCTCAAAGTGAAGATCAGGGTGCTCCTCAGAGTACAGAGCTGCGAATGGAGCAGTGGCACTGAATAGGTGAACATCCCTGTGGAACCGCAAAATAGGGGTTAAACTGCTCAACACACAAGCGCTGCTCAGAAGTTCACTAATGCTTGCCTTGATATTAAAAAGGTGCAGCAGTGTGTGGGGGCCCACAGGAGAAATGTCCAGGACCGTAGGATGGAAACTCCTGTGCCCCAGAAGCCCATTTATGCATAGGCGGTTTCCCTCTTCACTCTGGCTGCTGGGAAGCTCAGAGGCATGGTCACGGCCACCTTCCCCGGAGCAGAGGCATTCACACATCTGCGTTCTGCTTTTGATTCCCGTCTTTGCTTCCTCCTCTATCTGCTTTTTTCCTCCAGCTTCCTGTCTTATTGTGAAGCTGCATCTTGCTGTGAGATTGCATGCACTCAGGGAGGACAGGAAACGGTGTGTCAGGGAAGTGGACTCCTGCTGAGGGCAGGGACGGTGTGGTCGGCCCCTCCAGGATCACCAGCTCCCTGTGACTGCGGGCTGGTAGCCTGTGGGGTTCTGCTTCTCGCTATGCTGAACCTGGGGTGCGGTCGGCAGGGTTGGAGTTCTGGGCCTCTGTGTCTCTGCTTCTGCACAGGACGGACTTAATTTCAAAGTTAAGTTGAAGTCTGTGCTCCTTCTGAGAAGGTGCCAGAGAAGGAGGCTGCTCCGTCCCTCTGGTGCCCATGCTGCGGCCTGTGGCCAGCTGTGGAGAGAGGGCACAGCACTCAGCCGGCCTTTGGCCCAGGCTCAAGGCCCCCCAGAAAGCACAGTGGTCAGCAGATGCCGAGAGGAGGCGTCCTGCAGGCTGAGCCTGAACACGACAGCATCCAGGGCTTCCACTCAGGCGCTGACCCTCCCCGCCCTCCTGTGGGCAGCCAGGGAAGCACCGCAGTGGCTGGTGGGCATGCAGGTGTGTTGTCCTGGGCCAGGAGTCGCCGACACACACTCCCTCCACGCTGTGCCGCAGTGTGGGTCTCTGTCATCCTGGCCTGCAGAGTAGCCCACACCCCGAGCCTGTTTGTGCAGCTGATGGCACCGCACATGTGGCTCCCTGCCCTGGGGCCCTGCAATCCCCTCCGCCTTCCAGGCCTGGCTGCCCGGCTGACACCCAAGCGGTGAGAGCTGCCCCTGAGGCCTGGGCAGGATGCATATTCCAAGTGGCACAGACAGCATATGCAAGGGTCCTGGGGCAGAGGAAGACAGGTTTCATGGCCTGAGGCTGATACCATGAGGCTGAGGAGCCGAACAGTGACATAGGTGCAACTAGCAAGCTGGGGAGATGTCCCCCGCCCAAAAGACCCCCAACAGTGACCCCCTCAATGGGGGGTATGATCCAGGATGTTCTGAGGATGCCCGAAACCCAGGGAGCCTAGAACCTACATTCACTATATTCTTTTCCGCACATACACATCTACGATAAAGTTTAATTTGTAAATCAGGCTTAGTAAGGGAAAGGACAATAACCAGGGCTGGACTGGACAGTTATAGCAGTGCACTAAAATAAGTTAATTAAAACAAAAGTTGCTCATTGCTGAGATTTCCCACATAATAACTTGGACCTTGGTTGGCCATGGGTCATGAGAACCGAGGCGCAGTCCTGCCAACAGCCTGTGGGTATACACGGGAACTCTGGCTGGCCAGGGAGGGCCGCCCGGTTCCCAGCTGTGGGGGCCTGGAGCTGTGCTGACACCACGCAGAGAGGAGACCCCGTGCCCGAGTGTGGACTTGTCACGGCGTCACTCGCTCTCAGACGTGGCTGCCCGGGCAGAGTCCACACCAGGTAGAGAACAGGGTGATGGAAGGCCTCTGGAGTTGGAGCACAGCAGCGTAGTCAGGTCCCTGCTAAACAGCCCAGCTCAGACCGCGTCCTTCGCTTTCCTGGGACGGCACAGACAACTTTCTTCAGAGCGCTGCCTCCCATCTGGCGCGTGCACAGCCCTGGGGTGCAGCCACACTGATGGGAAACTTCCGCACAGGAGGAGGCCGGCGCTCAGAGGAGGTGCAGCGCCTTCATTAGGAGGCAGCGGGTGTAGCCCTCTACCCTCATCATTTTTAATTGCTGGCAACATGGATAGAGCCCTGGAGATGCAGGTGTGGGAGCAGGGAGCGAGAGGCGCGTGGCAGCCTGATATTTATGGGGGCCGCAGTCTGCGTCTCCCCAACACGGCTAGGCTGAGGAATTGCGCTGTGGCTACGAAACGCCTCTTTTTTATTATTGTTCTTGTTAGGTGAATTGAGAAAGATCAAATGAGCCAAAGGTGAGCTTGTAGCTGGGATGGTGCGGAGAATGGAAAAGTCCCACACCTGTGACCCCAACCAGCAGCGTCCCCTGCCCACAGCCTCTCTGGTCCTGTTCTAGGTGCCTGGGAGTCAGGCCTTGCCCACATGGAACGCACTGAAACGTGGAGGAAAGACTGAAACACAAAGCCAGCGTCCTCTCTGCTCGAATGGGGCACGCTGTCAGGGAGGGACGCTCACAACTCCGCTTCCCAACTAGAAAGTGCCAGCGGCAGGGACTGGCCTCGGGCCCGGTCCTGGAACCTGTGCCCTCACCAGCCAGTCTGCTGCCCACAGGTGCCCCAGTGCCCACCCCCAGCACGTGCTGCTCCCCTCGCCCACACCCCCTCTCCTGGACCCGGGCAGGCGCCCGCTGGGTGAGGATGGAGCCAGCTCTTTTCC